TGAATATTTTGCAAGTTAAGAAGATTATTATTATGCAACACTTTTTGATTTAGAAAAACTGGAACTGTATAAAAATACCGTGAGATACAAAAGGTACCAATTTCCAGTTACAAGATGGATAAGATCTGGGGATCTAACGTACAGCATGATGACATGATGACTATAATTAACAAGACTGTACTGTATCCTTGAAAGTTGCTAAGAGAGTAGATCTTAAGTGTTCTAACCACAAAAGAAAAAGGTAACTATGTGAGGTGATAGATGTGTTAACTAATTTTGTGGTAATCATTTCTCAATATATACTTGCATCAAATCATCACATTGTACGCCTCTAACTTACACAATGTTATATGTCAATTATATCTCAGTAAAGCTGGAAAAATAAAAATGGCATATATAAACATATATATGTGTGTATATATATATGTTGTAAAATTGCTTGCCAGATTTAAATATATGTAGACAACAGCCTGATTAGAAGTCCCGTTTGAAAGCTGCTGTTGATCACATGATATGCTGTGAAGAGATTAATACCTTACACCTGTGAGTGGCCTAAGACTTAAGTAAAAAAAAAAAGAAGCAGATTGAATATATAATATTTCTAGAAAATTTCTATATTGAGTGTCTTAAGGCACAAAGCTTAAAGCATACTTCTCTGACATTGCTTCAATCTAAAATAATTATTTAAACCAGTGGGAGTTTAGTCCTGGGTCATATCAAAGGTAACAGGGTACAACTGTAAGGAGTAATATAGACTAGTTGCTAGTTCTTGAGCTAGTGTTTCCGGAGAAGTTCTATCAAGTAAGAAACCACAAAAGGAAATGGGCTTGTGTCTATGTCTCATTTTAAAAGTTATAAGCTTGAATTAAGCATGGCACCCTCCCTCTGCTAAAGAGCAAGAGGTCTGTTCATATTCCGGTTGAAGCAGTTGATGACAAGGCAGGAGTAACGGGGACTCAGAGGAGAATGAGGAAGACGTGCTGTAAGTAAACGTGGCAGAGCGGAGTTAATGTATAAAAGTATCCCATTTGCACATGAGCACCCCCCCCAGTGGTTTGTTGTGCCTGTGTGAAATCATAGCTTATGTTTGCTTTTATTTCAGTTTTGGTTTGTAGATCTGTGTGTAATTCTAGTTGAGATATAAATATATCATCATTGTAATTGCTCGATGCATTTTAAATTGTCATGGTAAAAAGATGTGATGTAGAAAAGGATGTATTTCCTGTTCAGCTGCCTCACACCCTAGAGGCTTTAGTTGGCACTTGTCAGCTGTTGGCAATGCGGTGTGTTTAAACTCTCGAGAAAACGTAAATATGTGCTAAGCTGATAAGTAATGGGAGGTTTCAACTGAATTCAAAGGAAGAGATGGTAATGTTCCCTTATCATACAGCCTATATGTTAGTTTACAAGCCAAAAGGAAGATGCTGTCCCCATTATGAATTAAAATCTTTTGAAAAGCTTTTGGCGCCAGAATACAACCAGTGCGTGTATCCTGTTTCCCTTTCAGCGCTTGTTCGATGCAAGCAAATGAAAGCAACCCTTCCGCGGTGTGTGTTAAAACACTAGAGATACACAGAGGGTGCCAAAAAAATGTATACACGTTTTAAGAAAGGAAAAAACTGTAGTGATTGTAATACTCAATATATACCAATAACAAAAGATGAACACAAGTCACGTTTGACTTCTGCAGTTACAAGAGGTGCTCCAAGTGGTTCCCATCAGTGTCCAGACACTTCTGATTACAACAAACTAATGCTGGAGCATAGTTAACAGCTCTTAAAAAGTGGATACATGTTTTTCGGCACCCCCAGTGTTTACCAGTCAGTTTCTTAAATTACCTTTCTTGTTTGTATTGCACTGTGAGCCTACTGTATTCCAGTACATAGGACAAGGCAAACAATAAATGTTTCTTTAATGAATTTTAGAACTGATGAAAGATTAATTTACAAATGAAGAAAGTAAGGCTTAGAGAAAATGAATAATTTTGCCCCGGTGATATCCTTAGTAAGTGATGAAGACTGTTTTTGAATCTCACCTGCCTCTGGATGTTTGACCATAACGTTATATAATAACGTCTGTCAAAGACTCCAGCTTTGCTGGGTCCTTTCTTGTACTGACTAGAAACAGATGCCTCAACTGTGTCTCTGGAATGGGGATAATAATAACTACCTCTCAAAGAAATAGATAATAGTTTTTTCTGCTATGTGCTCATCTTTCCTGCAGATGTTGAGAAAAGCCCTAGAATTCATTCTTGCCCGTGCCTGAGATTTGAGAGGAGCCACACATAGCAAGACCCGTTAATCTTAAGTCTCAAGGGCAAGCGTTTGTAGTCTCTTCTTGGAAAAGGGGTGCTTTGAGAGGTCCCAATTAGGAAACTATTCTTGCAGCTTGCACATCACTGAACTGGAACTCCTGACCGCACTCCTGACTCCGATGATCTGTGAATGAAAAGGAAAAAGTCACATCCACCAGAAAACGCAAAATCTTAGCATTGCAGCAGATCAAAATACAGTACACTCTGCCATCAGGGCTCTGGAGGAAAGGGGTGCGAGAAGGGAGGAGTGTGCTCTTATCGTCAGCGCCATCCTGGAGTAGAGTAGCATAGGTGAAATTTCCCTCCAAACCGTTTGCACCTGTGTTTTCTTAGCCTTTTTCATTCCAATCAGTCTCCACCCACCCCAGGTCAATTCACTGCTCTTTGGCTTTTCAGTAGTTTTCTGCCTCCAAGAAACTTACTTTTTTTTTTTTTTTTTTTTTTTGCTAAAAGTGGCAACGATCCTATAGTATGTCTACACAGAACCAACTGAAGTGTGAAGCTAGATTGTTCGGAACNCGGCCGAGTGGTGCACTGGTTAAGAGCTGGCTTGGGACGCCAGAGGGCCCTGGTTCGGATCCCATATATGAGGGCCAGTGACACTGCCCTCTACAGCTAAGATGCTGAACAACAGCTCAACCTGGAGCTGGGCTGCCCTGAGTCACCGGCGACAGTGTAGGCTGCAGCCCCTACTGCAGTGGGTTGCCATGGGCTACCATGTGTAGCCAGCAGCCAGCATGAGCGGCCAGCAGCCGCCATGAGCAGCCGTCCAGAAGCCAGCGACTGATCCGACTCACCCGGGAAGAGCGCAATGATGGTGCCAACTTGGGCCAGTGAAGCAACATCCTCCACAACTAGACTGAAGAACAAGGCGACAGCAACTTGTCTGTTCTCCTTCCCCCAATTCCCCAGCGCTGTTCCCATCCCCCAATTCCCCAATTAAAAAAAAAAAACTAAAGAAGATCAGTGAAGTGATGAAACTCCAACATACAATAGAAAAGACAATCAAAGGTGATCAATAAAATGATATAGGAGGTAGGAAGATTCTGTAAGCAACGTGGTATATTATGAGGAGAACTTGGTAAATTATCAAATTATGTAAGAAGCAAATAAGTAGATACCAAGTTAGATGTTCAAACAGAGTGGGTTGGAAAGGTAATTGTATCAAGAAGGGATTCCAGTTACACTTCAGAAATGTCGATGGGGATTCAAGTTTGTTTGTTCAATCTAGGAATTGGAGAATGCAGTGGGGAGCTGGACAGATGACTTGGCACAGTTGACACTCCTGAAGAACACCCTCTGTACCTACATCAGTGCTGATGACATCTGCATCCTGAATGAACGTGTGGAGCTTCTGCAAAGGCAGTGGGAAGAACTGTGCCACCAGGTGAGACAAACGCTGGACTCCACATTAGCTCAGAAAGATGGGACACTGGGAGATGATTTGAAAGGTCCAATGACTTGAGCCACATTTGGACCCGTCTCATCACTCAGTGTACACAGAGGAAGGACTCTGTAGTTCTATTACAAAACCATTTCGGAAGAATACAATTATGTCTCACCATTATATTGAGATGCATTCAAACTGGATTTTTTTTGCTCTCCCTTTCACTGGCTGGCATAATATTTTTAAGAGGAAACACAGTTTTGTGGTTCACGGATGTGGTTTTGCTAGGCAGGTACGGTGTTAGGACGTTGGTCGCTTTCTTACTTTACACATGTAAAAAACAATAGTTTGATTTGCAATTTTGGATAATACTTTGGAGCTAGTTTTGTACTTGGAACATTTGTTGTTGCTGTTGCTTTACCATGGTTGTTTTTAATAATTCAGGGTTCATGGTATTTTTGGTCATACCTCATTCATTTATTAAGTCCCTTCTATGTGCCCAATACGCTAAAAGAGAGCCCAGATTGGGTTTTGATGGAAATGAAAGGAAGATTGATGGAAAGGTAATGAGAAGGCATCCGAGGCAAAAGGAAGCCCATTGATTAAGGCCCACAAGTAAGGAATAGGATCTGAGTGTGGCTTTGAGAGCATTGCCTCCAGGAAGCAGGGACCCTGAGTGTCGAGTTCCGTCCTGTATCTAGTTGCCTTGCCTGGCACATGATAGGCTGTGATGCGTATTTGTTACATGAATCAGTCACGTTAATTATTATGAATTTCACAAGCTATAGTAGGTGTCACTATTATCAAGTTCACAATTGAGCTGAGACGTAAACTGGTCCAGAAGTATCTACACAGTGAAGAAGAAAACTGGGTATAAACAAGTTAGAACAATGTGTAAAGATGTAAGCCAAGCAAGGGCAGTGTGGACTGCAGAGGATAAAGAAAATGCTTGTTGAAGAGGATGTCTTGGACTGAGTGCTGAGATGAGGCGTGGAAGCCCCTGACAGGCGTGGAGGGGTCGGGCAGGTGTGTGGGACAGGGTTGCCACTGGAGTAATGCACAGGAGAGAAGCAGACAGAGGGCCTGGCTGGGAGCAGCAGGTGTAGGAAAGCTGACGAAGGAGTTTCCAGAAGGGGCCTCTTTGTGCCTCCCATTTCAGGACAAATGTGCTTTCCTAGAAGTCTCTTCTCTCCCCTCCTCTCCACTTTCCCCAACATTAGGGTTGCTTCTCTGCATGTTTCAGAAAACATGAAGCAGAGTTTAAGATTCATTTGACATCAACAAGAAATTTGTCGCTAGATAAATTTTTCTGTGTGTGTTTAGGTTAAAACCCAGATATTTCTCAGGCCATGAGCCAGAGGAACACTCTGGCATGCACTTGGTAAATGTGTGAAAAGTTTGCTACGAATATATATACTGTACTGTGAAAAGGGAGAAATGTAAGAGGCGATTTTCATAAACACGCTAACGATTCGACGTCAAGATTAATTGGCCACCTTTCATGGATCTCCACATTCTCAGTGAAGGCAATGAGAAACATACGTGGAGCATGGCAGTGTTATTCTTTTCTGAATTCTTTAATCCAAAACCAATACATGACCATCCAATAAATTATATACATTTTTTTGACGTAAGGATTTTCTCATGGCATTTCATAGAAACGAAAGATACGTTGGGG